ACTTAGGCATGTTAATCAGTATATAAAAAGATGGAGACACAAGTCATTTAAACGATAATAGAACCAACATGGTGCCTAGATTTTCTGTCAACGATTTATTATCGTCTATAAAAGCAGTCATATCAACTCTTATTTCATAGGACCTGGTGTTGGAAGTTTGATAGAAAACAAAGCCATCATGTACATGAAAAGGATGCAGCAAATTTAAGGAGAGATCAAAAGTTCACATTAGGAAGTTAATAAAAATGGCGTTCAATTTGGGCAAGAGACGAAGTATATCTAAGTATTTGATGAGAACTCCCCTCATGAATACATTACAATGTAAAAAGATTTAATAACTTACAAATTTCAATCAGGCTCTATGTAAAAACCATCAAGTAGACTTTATAAAGAAGTTCAAGTAGCAGTTCTCTGTAATTCCTTCAACCTGTTAGCTCCCATCCGAGCTCGCGTCTTTTTGAGATCTGAACAACCGAGAACTTCTTGTTGCGTTAGCTGGAGTTTGATTTGTCTTCTCTCTTCCTCCAAAAGACATATCAACTGCAACAAACTTTTGATGGGATAGTTGGTAGGTCCTGCCAAATATACAACATAATATGGTCAAAAATCTGGTGTAGTAGGTAAGTAAAGATGCTAATAGTCAATCCAGTAGAAGTTGCATGCAAATTTTTACCGGTGGCGCACATGAGATTAAAATTTATCATTTTGATTAAAAGTTCATCTAACTGATAGGTCGCATTTCAGTTTTCGCGCTCTTTAATAATCCTATCCAATCAAATATAGTTAATTTTTCAAAATTATTTTTACAATAACAATCATCGAAATAAGAATTGTTTCCAGAAACATTCTTACAAAACATTTCCACAAACTTCTTCCAGAATTATTTTCGAAAAACTCTTCAAACACCGAATATAGAAAGCAGTATCTTTTCCCATTGCAAATCTATAAGATCCTACGAATAAAGTAAGAATATCAAGTTCTAACAGCACTCTCTTGGATTCATTACAGATATTTAATTATTTTTCATATGTTTAAAGGAAATCACAGTTAAAAGAGAACCTTAAAACTATTGTCTCGTATCCATCAAAGCAATTAATATTACACAAAAGTAGTTATCAGTTATGTTAGAGTCTACTGTCCACACCATCAAATATAGGAAGTAGCAGCTAGCATCATTCACTCATATTAAAGGAGATGCAAAATTCAATACATCTAAGGTGCAAGCTGATGGGAATAAATTCTTTCTTTCTTCTTCTTCTTCTTCTTCCGTTAAGTTGTAAAATGATTAAATAATAAAGCCACCTATTCATCACCTTAATGATCTTAAAACCTCAGGCTCTGCATACTATTCAAGGGGTAATACCTTAATACTCCCATTCAATAACTTTCGAAAGTACTTACATTCTGCAGGAACAATCTGAGGATTTTCTCTATTTGAATAGGAAACTGGAAGATAACAATCAAAATCTAGAAGTGTATCCGACAACCTACAACGAAAAATCAAAGAACAAAGCATAACCTTAGAAACAAAGAAAACCTTATATTAAAGAATTAATAGTAAGAGAGGAAAAGAATATTTCACAAGATATGGCTAGAAAGATGAGTAGCTAATCTGGAGATTGTATCAATCTGAGTAGAAGGATAAGAACAAAAAGTATAGAATTGGGAAAAGTATCTAAAGCAAATGAAAATGTAGAACCCCGTGCAGTGGAATTAAACTATGCAGTGGCTGTAGGAGTGGAGGCCACGTTGAATTAGCTAACCCTGATATGCTACGTCAGCTATATTAGATGACCAAAATGCTATTTGAATCTTAGTGCCAAAAAACGAACAGGTCGAACGGAATAAAGTAGTTGAAGCACAATAATCTGGCAGGCTTCTTCTCAGTGACTCGACAATAAGACATTGCTCTCCAGTTGAGCCTTGTCACAAATGTTGTCTTCTAAACTACCCAAAAATATTTGAAACGACAAACCAAGCCAGCTCTTTGTAGTTCAACAACTAACCTCAATTACATGGAGAATCATTGACAGTCACAAAACTATCTGTCTCATAATAGCGACACACAATATAGTTCTAAATGGTGGTATACAAACACATATATTAAAAAGAAAATGAGAAGTATTATTTTCTTCAAAGGTGTGCATTAGTAATAAGAAGGTATATTGCACTGCTTTTCTACAATCTATTTAAATTAAAAGAAATTGTCAGTCTCACAAATAAGAGGTGAAAGTCACAAAGGATTATTAGGTAGATTCTTTTTTTCCACAACTGTTTGCGTACAAGTAAATTCGCAATAGCTTAAAATAATAAAAGTCAAAGATCCATTCATACTGGTTGTAAAAACTTGGTACATGCCTTAGAAGTCAATTTCAAGGAAATGATAGGCATGCATGATATTCTCACCCTGATATTCTTCTTTCCTAAAAAGCAATAAGAGATTCTATTTAATGCTCTTGGCAAATCTTCATAATAATACCAGTTTAAAATAATATGTCACAAATGTGGCAAGAAAAAAGGTAAAAAAATTTGTTACCCATATCATAAATTTATCATATCAGAAGAGACCACCAACCCAGAAACTGTAATCCATGATTCACTCAGCACCCAAAAATTCACAATAACATCCAAATTGTTTGCTGAATAGTTAAACTAATTAAGTAATGCAAAAAGTTTTCAATGAAAACTTCCTCAGTTATGTTTCTTGAAGAAAACATCAATTTTGATGAGGTAAAATTCAAACTTACATGTAACTGCAAATACTTCATTATCAAATGACCGTGTGAATGCATACAATCAGAGTTTCCAACCGAGACTTAAAGTAAGCTCCATCGGAGTTCTCAACTAACACTTGGAGTAAGCTCCATCAGAAAATCTGTAAGATTGAAAGCAAAACATTCCGAGGTTGGTGTATCTTGTTGAGCATGGAGATGCATTACGAATTCAAATTTCTTTCTTATGGTGTGAAAAAAAAGGAGATGAAGCAACATTGACTCCTCTCTCTACCTAGACGATTACTCTTTGGTCAAAGAGTACTGAAGTAACATCAACTAAAATACACTAATTTCAAAAGAACTAATGTGATCATAAGAAGCAGAATATTTCAAAAACATGCTCATCTACAATTACAAAATTTGGATCAGTCGATAAAAGCTTTTATTAAAGATAGTAACAGAGAAAAGTACATGGAAGAATTGGAGGAAGATGGTGGAAACAGAAAATTACCTTTCTAATCAATAGAAACGAAAAAATAAAATTAAAAAGAAGTCAAAAGCAAATGAAATTACTACTATAATCTTTTTGTTCATCGTTTCTACCCCAATCTCCCAACTACATTTTACGCATAGCAAACCTTCCGAAACTCTACCTCTTTCTCTATTAAAGACATCAGCCACGAATTCCAGCAATGAAATTTGGAAGACTGAAGAGAAATTAGAAGTGGGCAAAAATTGAGACAGCTCATACCTGAAATTAGAACAGCCCAGCCGAGAAGATGTAAAGAACTGGAAAAAAGAAGTAATCATTGAAAATCAGAAGAAAAATAAAGAGATTATGCAAAAGGAACATTTTAATAATGAAAGAGAGAAACAAAAGCAAGGAGATGAATAGATGAACAAGAACATAGTAGAAAAACAAAAATGAATTTTAGCCATGAAATTGAAAATTTTGAAAAGAACTGGGAGAAGACTAAAGCAAAAATTGAGAGAAAAGATTACCTGAACTTGAAAGACCATGAAGAAAAATCAAATGAAACAACCAAGGGTTTCTTATTCTCATAAGAGAAATTCTTCTAGAATTGTGTCTGTATTTGCTGAACCACATATTATTACTTTGGGGAACTAAAAATAAGAGATTTGCTCTTGATCAACCAATAGAAATAGAAATAGAAAAAATAAAATCAAATGGCAAGGTAAAATGGTAATTTTGCCCCCTTGGTCGATCAACTTCTCTTTTCTATATAACAGAAAAAAGGAGAGGCAAAAGCATATTATTAAGATAAGTAGCATAATCACAAAAAGCCAAGTGGCACTGTAAAGACAAAATAAACTATCTTTTTAACTAAAAAAACCTTTTTAAATTTTGAATTAGTTAGTTATTCTATTTGAATTAATAAATATAGATATCTTATAATTAACTATATTCAAAAAAAAAAAAAATAACTACCTATTCAATTTGGGGAGTAGTTTCAAGTTGAAGTTTTAAAGTTATTTTAAAATAAAAAAATGAAAATCTATCTTCTATCTATTTATATATAATAGGAGAGGCAAAGAAATATTATGATGACAAGTGGCGTAATATTAAAGTGACATGTGTAGAATTTTTGGATAATTCTCCAATTTTGTTGGAGTTTCAAACCCATTTAAGAAAAACGTAAAGGACAGTTTTTTTTTTTCATAATTCAAAATTTGAGACAGTTTTATTTTTTAGAATTCAAATTTCAAAAAAATTTACTTTTAAAAAAATAACTGATTTTACATGGCACTATTAAAGGACACGTTTTGTTCTCTTTAAAAAAGAAAAATAATTTTAAAGCACCCACTTAATGAGTAAAAATTAAAGCACACTTTAAAAGGGCCTTTCTGCCTTCAGTTATCCGTCTACTTTCCCTAAGAAAGCCAAAAAACTTCCCCTTCTTCCCATGCATCTTCTTAACTACACCTCTTTTATATCATCTTTGTCACACACAATTTCACGTACAATCAATAGTTCCAAAAACAATACCTTAGAATCAAATACAATACATAGCATCATTGAAAGACGGATCGGATAAGTAGAGCAGAGAAAGAGTTAGTAAAGGTTGTTCGTTATATTAATTGTAATGGAGTCCCTTTTGTTAAAGGACACAATTCATGACAGGAGGAAAAAATGAGGTATTGGAGGCATGATGATGCACATGGAAGACATGAAAGAATAATATATTTGGTAAATAATATTACGACTTACCTTTTTACTTTTTTTTCACGTTAAAGAACAGATTTATTGTGTATAGATAAATTTTGTGATATTCTAATCTACATATATATTAAAGCAAGAAAGTTACCATATATAATTGACATTATGGTTAAGCCAAGTGGCAAGCTAATAAATGTCAATAGCATATGGTAACTTTATTCTATATTTGACTATTTTAGTTAAATACAAATATTAAAAGGTAATTTTGAATTTATAGATAAAGTTCTAAAATTCGAATTTAAATTAAAAATAAAATTTATCCTTTTTTATCATGTTATCATACTTAATTCGGTTAATGATCATATGCAATCATGTTAGGAACTTTTGTTATTTTTTCTAATTATTTAAATACTACTTCGCCTCTAGCAAAAAAAAAAA